CTGCATCATAAAGATGAAGAAACTGAGGCTTAGAGGGAAAGTGTCTCTCCTTATACTGTGCCAAATTTAATATTTTTCTTGTCTGCAAAAGTACTAATCATGTTTCAATAAAATGAGATTAAAATAATTTTAAAAATCTGAAAACTTCTTTTAACACTAGAAATTCCTAGAACAAACATAAGAACAACAATATTTGTAGTCATCTATTCAAGTCAGAATAACGTTCAGGGCTGTAAGATAACCTCCCATTCTTTGATAAACTGAGAGGTATTTTTTTTACTCTGTGGTCAAGAAAATTCACTCTGCCACAATGGCTGATGCTAACTGAAATTCAAATCAGTTTAGTGTGGTAGGAAAAATGAGAGGAAGAAAATTACCTTTTCAGGTTGTGTAAAAAATTTCATTGGGAGGACTGGGTCCTTTGGTGAATCTGCATTGCACAAAGCACTTTTACTATTTATAACACAGAGAGCCACATCACATACTGTATACAGTTTCTAGGGAGAAAAAGGAATCACATATAACTTTTAGTATTGCAAAATAATCACCATTACCAATTCCATCAAATGTGTAATTTAAACATTAAATGTGTAAATTATTCCTTGAACATTCTATATTTCTGTTCAGCATTGTTTATGTATCCTCCTGGAAAATAAAAATCCCTCTATCTGAATTTAACACGAATGCCAATATGCACAGAAAATAACAAACAAATGAACCAACCCAAAGAAATCACACAAGAACAACAAGCATGTCTGTAACTCTTACTGTAAGTTTGTAAGATAGCATAGTTGTACATTTTACTCTTATCCTCCTATTCTGAGGTTATAAAGTCTTTTCAGAGTACTAAAGATTCCTGAAATAATAAAATTCACTTGTAATGAAGTGCAATAAAAACACTACAAATTTATAAACATTCTGAAATTTAAATTCTTATGTATGGCCAAAAAAAACTCCCAAGAGGGACAATATATTTTTCTATTACATCTTAACACCCAGTGGCCCAACACTCATCTTACTTCATTTGTCTTGGATTCATCTGGAGACTGGGCATCTCTGGTTAACTTGATGTTCTCTGCCATCTTCTTCATAAAGGCATGGCTATTGTTTTCATTCTTTGTCATTAAAACTTCGAGCATGAACCATAGGCACCTAAATGTAAACATATTAAAGAGACTAGATGTAGACAGGTGCTTTAGCTTAAAGCAATAAATATGTTAACAGGAATTTCTGTTGTCTGAATAAAATAAAATGACCAACTTTAATTACTAATATATGTATTATCATATTAATCATAAGCTATTCAAATTTAAAGCATAAAATAATATATTAAAAAATGAAAACATCACTTAATATGAGAAATTCTGACAGATTCATGAAGCATATAATGATTCACCCTGGCTGGAGGCAGTGAACACCTACAATCTCAGCACTTTGGGAGGCTGAGGTAGGTGGATTGCCTGAACCCAGAAATTCGAGACCAGCCTAGGCAACATAGTGATACTCCATCTCTTAAAAAAAAAAAAAAAATTAGCTGGGCATAGTAGTGGGTGCCTGTACTCCCAGCTACTTGTGGGGCTGAGGTTGGAGGATCGCTTGTCCCAGGGAGGCAGAGGTTGCAGTGAACCATGATCACGCCACTGCAATCCAGCTTGGGCAAAAAAGTGATGATGCCCTATCAAAAGAAAACACAGATTCACCCTAGGTAAGCTTAGAAAATTTGATGTATCTTAACACCCAGCAATGATGAGCAAATCAACACATAGCAGTCTTGGCATTTTGATTATTTGTAAGCTATGCAGAAGTTCAACAACTGGTATGCAGTTCTGCTGAGAAACAAGTCTAAACTGTATTTACTATGAGGCTGATGTGTGTGGTACCCAGCCACTCAGTTAAGGAGTCATAATCTCAAACCATTTTTGCTCTTCTACACTTGTCACTGTATACTAATTTAATACATTGTGTCTGAAGGGAACATCTCAATTTCAAGTAAAAGTGAACCCCAAATCAGGCTGTACATTAGAATTGCTTGGCAAACTCAGACAAATCTGGGAATGGGACCTGTTTTTACAAAGATACTAGGATTTTCAGGTGGTGACAGGACTACATTATTACTGCATCAACAGGGGAGAAATTATTTGATGATACTCTGTAAAAGCTTTTTTGCCTATATTCTATGTAAATATTTTAAGAGACTATTGTAGCATGCATTCGTTTTTTAGCTTAATGGCTTAAATGATAGTTGGTAGTTTCAATAATATGTATTAACTTTGGCAAAGAGTTATCAATTCTAGTTAGATACCAGGTAACTGCTACAATCCTGATCAAAGAACGGAGCAGAATAAAGAATAACAAACATAATAAAAATTAGCAAATACTTAATGAGTGCTTACTATCTACTAGGCATTAGGCTAAGTACCTTCTTCATATAAACCTCATAACTCTATAAAGAATATGAAAAATCATCACCATTATACAGATATAGAACGTATCTTTTTTTTTTGTCTTTTGGGAATGGGCCTTGCTTGTCACTCAGGCTGGAGTGCAGTGGCGTGATCACAGTGGCAGTCATGGTGTCCTGGGCTCATGCTATCCTCCTACCTCAGTTTCCTTAGTAGCTGGGACTACAGGTGTGTGCCACCACATTTGGCTAATTTTTGTAGAGGCGGGGTTTCGCCATGTTGCCCAGGCTGGTCTTGAACTCCTAGGCTCAAGAAATCAACCTGCCTTGGCCTCCCAAGGTGCTGGGATTGCAGGCATAAGCTACCACACCTGGCTACCGAATTTTTTTTTTTTAAAGACATTAAATAACCTATTTAGGGTCACAGAGATAAGAAGATGGAGCTAGGATTAGAACCAGGTCTGATTTTATACTTTTAACAAAGCTATACAAAATAAATATAAAAAATAAATATAATAAACATTATTTGGCAAGTACGTACTAGACAAAGGTTACAACACTGAACACATTGGTTCTACAGGTTTCAGGATTCTGTTTATACAAACACTGAAATCATTTCATTAATTCCCTGGGTTCAGAATTCTGTTGAGTTTCTATTAACTTGAAGATTTGTTTGATCTCTTTCTACAGAAGTATAGGGTCAAGATTACTCTCAGTTTTAAGGGATAAGGTGAGGAAGCATTCTTATGCAGGATTTCCTTAAAAAGTTATAATAAAAAAATCTTGCGGTAAAGTTTTAAACATTAGTATACATATAAAATACTTAAATGTGCATTAACATAGGAGACTTTATTAGTTGAAGTAACTGAAAAAAAGTATGACTGTCCTGTGATAAGAATGTCAATTCCAACTTAATTTTATGCAAATATGTTAAGACTAATATGCTAACTAACATGAACCAATTAACTCAATAAATTTTGGTACTTGGCAGTTGTTCAATATAATGTTATACTTAAAATAACAAGATACAAAACAATACATATGTGTATTACAAAACAATATATAATAGATATTAAGATGGCATTTTGAGAAATTAAGAGTATGTTGAAAACCCTGGGGCCGTGTCTCACTTCTGCATCCTCAATACTGCCCAAGAAATGTAATCACTAATGTTTACCCATCCTATAAAGTACACAGATTCCCATAATCCTCTGCTTCTGCCTTATCCAAGGGAGCTAATTCCTCTCCATCTCACGTCTTTTCACTGAGCTCTTTCCCCCTCGCCCCCCGCAAAAGAAACTTCAATGAATGCTCACTTTACCTTTTTGCTATAACTGAAACCATACCGCCACCCCAAGAATGCTTGCCTTGCATTCCCCCAAAGTTATAGTCTCTCATTCTATTAGATGTTACATACTTCGGGACAGAGTGGGTTTAGCTTCTATCATCCCCAGTGCTGATTCCAGCTATTCTTCCATGTTTACATGAAATTACTCCTAGACTCACTTGAACCTGGGATGTGAAGGCTGCAATCAGCTGAGATCACACTACTACACACCAAACTGGGTGACAGAGCAAGACCCCATCTCAAAACAAAAACAAAAACAAAAATAAAATGGCAACAACAGTAATTATCCCAAGAATTGTTTTGAGGAATAAATGAGGTAATACTTCCAGTACACTTAACATATAAAAAAGCCAATGAATGTTAGCTGGGTCCTGACCATTCCTCTGTCCTTAATACATTTTCCAAACTGCTATTCTTTTGACCTCCCATTTTCTTCCTCTAAGTTGTTTTTTTGATTCTCTGTTCTTTCCAGTAGTGATACGTCTGAAGTCTACACTATTAGAAGTTCTGCTCTACAGATTATTTTTTTCTTCCTCCTCTTTTTAACTTCTGACTCTATCCAAGTGTGAGTTATGTGCCTATTCTAGGTACTTTCACAATAGTAGAGCACATTTATCACATACATTATTGTAACTACCTCTTTACCTTTCTTCATCTTCCATTATATTGTGAACCTTAAGGGAATACATATGATATTCATATTATATAACCTCACAGCCCGAGAACCTAGCACACCTGGCACATTGAAAGTATTCTACAAATATTTGTTAAAGAGGTATGAACATATGAAGAATAAAAAGTGTTGAAAGATACAGACCAAACTGTTAATAGCAATGAAGGACTTTTAGGGAGTATAATTATGAATAATTATTTTCTTAATGAATTCATTTTCAATTTTTTCTTACTGAATATCAAAGGAGAAAGGTAATTATTAAACATTAAAGTATTAATCGTACTTATATTTAAATAAAAATTTTCAAATTCAAATATATTATTACTGCCAGAAAAATGGCAGAGTAAGAAATTTCAGAGATCAACTGCAACGATAAAAAACTGTTAAGCTGGAAAAAACCAATCATAATCACCTGTGCAGAACTCTGGAACCTCATGAGACCCAGCAACCAGGGAGTAAACGCCTGATTTGATGAGGGAGAGGAAATGAATCTCAACAGTGAAGGGAATCTATGTTAGGTCACAGGCTGACCACAAAGATAACAGAACCATAACTTCAAGGCCTACACAAAACAAGGAATATAGACTTTGTGAAGGTAGTTTGGCAAAGTCAGAATGGTGGACTGCATCCTACAAGAATTTAGCAAGAGAGGAAAAATCAAATTTTTACTTATCACATTATAGTACTTAAAATGTCCAGTTCCTAACAAAAAACTACAAATCACATAAAGAATCAGGAAAATATGACTAATTCACAGAGGAGAAGAAAGAATTAGAAATCAACCCTGAGGAGGCCCAGATTTTTAGAGTTACTTGTCAAAGACATTAAATCAACTGTCTTAAATATGCTCTATGAGATAAAAGAAATAAAGATAATTATATATATGAATAAGTAGAGAATACTGATATAGAGATAGAAATAATTGAAAGGAACCAAGCAGGAATTCCAGGACAGAAAAGTGTTAACAGCTGAAATTTAACATTCACTCTAGGGGTATTCAATGGTAGATTACAGGAGGCAGAAAAAAGATTCAGCAAATCTATAGATAAGGCAATTGGAAACACTCAGTCTGAACAGAAAGAAAAGAGAATGAAGAAAAACCGAATCTAATGAACCTGCAAGACACAATCAGAAATACTAACATAGTGTATACATCATGGAATTCCCAAACGGAAAGACAGAAAGTGGCAGAAAAAATATTTGAAGCAACAATGGTCAAAAATGTGCAAATTTTATAAAAGATGTGAATTTATACATCCAAGAAAATCAATGATCTCCAAGCAGGATGAAATCTGAGACCCACACTGGGACACATTAGGGTCAAATGGTTGAACATTTGATAAGGAGATAAAGGTCTCTTGAAAGCAGCCAAGGAAGTGACTCATGTAAAAGGATCCTTAAGAAGAATAACAGCTGATTTCTCATCAGAAACCATTATGGCCAAGAGGCAGTGGATGACATCTTCAAGTTCTAAAAACATAAGCAAACAAAAAAACAAAAACCCCAACAACTGGTCAACCAGGAATCTTATACCCTATATAAGATTTGCGGAGAGGATCCAAGATGGCCGTTTAGGAACAGCTCAGGATTGCAGCTCCCAGTGAAAGCGCAGAGGGTGAGTGGACGCCGCATTTTTATTGCCCACAGACTAGGAAATTCCCAGGCGGAGGAGCTCTACAGGTCGCCAGCGCGGCTGTTTCGGCCAGCTCGGCTGTGCCCCGCGCGGCTGCTTTGTCAGCGCCCCAGAACAGCGGTTCT